CCCATACCAAGATGCCACCGGAGCCCCCAAAACCAGGAAAGAAATCGAACTAGAAAAAAAGAAAAAGGATAGTATGCCAAACTCACCTCTCATGCGAAACCCCATCGGCACTCTTCCCGCCCTTCGCGCTCGTCTTACCGGAACCCTGGGAAGGAGAGGAACTCGTCTGCATGCGCAAGCTCGCCGTAAGCACGAACTGGCCAACGGCAGCACAGAAACCGCTCAGGAAGGCATTGAAGGGCTGTTTTTATAACAATCGGTTAGTCTATCGTTTCTTCATCTTCATCTAATTCCCCATTCTGACAATAGTGGGTTGGATAGCAATGCCCGCATTGGAAATTGGGGACAGGTAGTCAATGGTTGTTGTTTATGGATGTAGTATATCGGAGGGGTTTAAAAAAGTAGACGTACATAGTTGCCCGCTACAACACAGTAGACGAATTGGATGCCCCCGACAAGAACCAGGAATGCCATGAAGACGTCCAGGAGCATTGTTCGTTGCGGCGTGGTCGCCACGTACTGCTGCCAGACATGGTGGATGATGTCCGAGACGGAGGAGTTGGCTGTGAGGGTCTTGGGGCCGGACGAGAGGGATTTGGTCGCGGTGGGAGTCGCCGTGGCGGCGGCGGTGCGTTTCGGAGGCATGGCGGCGTGGGTGGTGTGTATGTTTCTCGCGCGAGGAGCGAATTGTTGGCGTTGTCGGAGGTGCTGATGAAGCTACTGTGTACAGTACTGTACTACTCTGGCCGCGGCATTGGTTCCGGTGTCAGTCACGTGATATATAGTCTGGGCCGCGTACTGCGGCGTAAGATAGTAGAATGGTAGGGAGAATAAGTGTATTATAGGGGTTAATTTTTAGAGAGAGGTGGCTATTTGTCTTTGGAAAGTATAGGTCTCATTTTGTAGTCCATGGGTTCCATGTGGCATACTATACATTGCACTATAATACAGGGAATAATAGACCGCAAGCTACCATTTTATAGAGCGTGTAACCCCACAAAATCCAGATCAACTGGACAGAAGCACCACGCAGTCGTATGTCGTAGATCGTATATCATTAAGATTGGAGAGTTTTGTCGTGATGTGAACCAAATCAAGAGGCAGAGGTGGGAGGCGTTCGCATTATAGAAATTGAGAGGTGAGAACTGGATGGATAATCATCCTGTAGACGAGACTTTTGTGCCAATCTGCGCTAGAGATGAATGAAACGTAAGGGTGACCTCCAGGGTCACAGTCGAGTCAGCAATTAGGCACACCCTGGCCCGAAAACATTAGGTGTCAGTTGATCAGGTAAACCAGCCCGAAACATTGTTTTGCATGTTGCCCATAGGGTTCGTGGGCTGTACATCTTGCATGTCCATCTGGAAGTCACGCATCACTTGATCCCATTCGTCCCAGTTGAGCTGCAAGTTAGACGAATCTTGTTGGAGCTCAGGAGGCAGAGCAGAGCCCTCGGGAATGCCAATCGCTGGCGCCAGATTGGCAGCTGGCTGCTGACCAAGAGAATCTGCAGGCGTTGGCAAAGAAAGCCAGTCCACATCAGGGAACAAGTCACTCATCACCCCCATTGGTCCTCCTTTCCTGAGATCGAGGCCACTCACGGGCGGGTTACTCGATGTAGGACCAGGCAAGGTGCTGGGCGAAAACTGGAAATCTGGGATGCGTGGCAACATCGGAGGATCTATAATTTTTGGCCCTTCCGGAATGCTCAGAGATACAGCACTCGAGGAAGTGACCGTGCTGGGCCCAGGCTGAGCGTGCATCTCTTGCTGTAGTTTAGCTCGGTGGTCGGCTGCTCGCTTCATCAGCCGGGCGAGCGGCCGCCAGAGCATGCCCTTTTTATGTTTTGCGGTCTGCAACCACCCCCCATAGAGTGTGCTCACGGCGGCCCAAGCCCGCTCAGTCAGAGGATTAATGGGACGCACACAGAGTTCGGCCAGGACGAAGGCAATCGCATGCCACTGCATATTGATCGCAAACATCCAGCCCCATTTCTGTGTGTTCTTATCGGCCGTTAATAAACGTGCGAATTCGGCTACCTCAACCGAAGTCAGGAAGAGACTTTCGCGGGAAGAGTTGGTCAAGTTTATCCCCTGATATGGCCGTGTCATCGGATGGTGGACCACCAGCCACAACTTTGTCAGAATGAGGCGAGCAACTGTCGCAGTGACCCATTGGATCGGAACGTTCATATCGCAATGTTGGATATACCTTTCCTCGATGCGCTTGTTGATGATTTGGATCAAGTTGCCACATTTCTCGGGGGAGGGCTGTTGAGGTCCAGGAATATTAGTATTTGGGCATGAATAGCTCACTCGCCGAAGAGCAATCGTGATCTCAAAGCGCATGAGGCTGAAACTCATTTCTGTAAAGCTATTTCTTTCTTCAGGTGGCTCCTGCATCTCGGGGCAGATGTCATCATCATTGATATTCAATGGAAGCCGTGTATCGTACATTCTTTCGGTAATCTGAGTCTCGGTGCCATGGTCCTCAGATGATCGAATATCCAGCAGTCCGATATGCCACCACAATCGTCGGCGCATCTCCGTTTCAAATGGTTTTAGACCGAAGTTCGTTCCATCTCGATGTAGTCCTAAACCTTGGGCAAGCCGAATGACGAGAGAGGTCATAGACCAAACAAATTTAGTATCATCTTCTCGGCGTACCGCGATCAGGAATATCACAGCAGCTTGCAGAAGCATCAGGCTTTGCGTATTCAAAAGGTTCGCCTTCGATAATGCCTGCTCGACAGCGAACCGATATCGACTTACGGCAGTGTCGCGCTCTTCTCCGAGTAGAGTAATGCATTGGTCCGGTGTCAAGCTTATTATCGTTACGAAATACATTGAGAGTAACAAAGCTTCGGAATTTTTGTCCAGCGCGTCCGGATGGTCAGTGGCGTTCGTAAACAATTGCTTAGCCGACGGCTTATGAATAATGGGTATCAAGGGATCCACATTTTCCAAATAGGCCTGCCAAAGCAGTGGGACTTTCGATGGCGGAGGATGAAAACTACGAAGCGAGTGCGAAAGGGAGTAGAATCCAAACAAGAACCCGTCGTGGTTCGTTGAGTGAGTCGAAGAGGACGCCGGAGAGGGATGATCTTCATCCTCTGACGATGACGGGTCCAGTAGGTCCTGAAGCTCTTCAATCTAATGCCGAGTCAGCATCGAGTACGCCGAGGGAGAAATAGACATGGTGAAATCAAGGGTACAAGCCCACCTCGTCTCCCAAGCTGGCCCAAAGCCGGTTGCTGACGTATCGGCTCCGGCCTTCTTCAATCACCAATCTTCCGAACTCATGCTCCAAGTTTCGCGGCTTTCGCTTCGGGTCAAATGGACACCCTTCGGGCTCTGCACTTTGGGGTTCGGCGCTGCCAGGACATTCCGCTGTGGTCACGGACCCACTGCGTTGTTGCGTTGGAGAAGGCACCGTTGACAGAGACGTATTTTTCTCACTGAGATGCTCGATCACGCCTTCTAAACGCTTCAATCGGGATAGAAGTTCCGCATCGTGCGGCCGTTTCGACTTGCGCGGCGCTCGCCCCGGCGGAGGGAACACACACTCAATACCTGCCTTTACACAGTTGACACACGGGCATTTCTTGTTGCAGCGGACCTTCCTCCTCCGACAGGTTATACAGCTCCGCTGGCCATTGTCCTGCGAAGCATGAGAGATCGCTGGGGGGCTTGTTCTTAGGAGGGGATCTGAGCCATATTGAGGTTGTGGATATTCAGCAGGCGGGAACGACATGGCGGAGAAGTGGGGATAGCAGAGAAAACATCCACCAGCTGTAACATTCTCGACCGGGTGGGAGAACGTAGGGGGTATAATATAGGAAGAACACGCATAAGTTGCGAAAACAAAAATTAAAATAGAAACGGGAAAAAATAAGATACGATGCTAAGGAGTATGGGCTATCCAAAAGCAAGTGAGACGGGATCTTCAGTCTTCGACTCATAGTGGAGCTTGCGCGAGGTCTTCCGTTCCTTTCATTGGCTCCATCAGCCAACGTCCAGGCCGAACGACAGGATCTTGGCGGGTTTCATTGGCTGGGACACCTGGAAACATTACTAATCTACAGTAATCACGGTACCGCTAAGGACCAGAAGTATCATCCTTCTCGGTTTCAACCGTGTATCGCTTGTTCCCGGAATATTACCAGAAGCTTATGATACGAATGCCCCTGACGTCATCTCCGCACTACCGGAGTGATCAGAAGCTAAAATCATAGCAGCCTGAGGTGCGTGCAGGTCAGCAGATCTCCGTTTCTTATCTGATCGAAATGTAATCGGAGCTGTGGACAACTGGAACTCCTATTATCGGCTCTGCATCCGTGAGTCAACCTCTTCGTACCGGGCAATCCCGTATTGGCCCCCAGTAGCATGAAGCCACGAGAGTTAAGGTTCATTTGAGACAGGGCTTAGACGGACAGCCACAAACTCGACATGATTCGTCCGCTCGTATTGTGGACAACTCAAGCCTCAGGCAAGCAGCAGCCTCGTGGCCTGGGACGTTTGCAGTTCTATTCATAGGGTTTTCGAGCCAACAATTGAGGGTAGCACAGGAAATAATGTTCAGAGGTGGTCGCGGTCACTTCTGTCGACCGTCAGACACAAAGGATACATTTATCCAATACTATATATATACATGTCATGTACATCCATTAACCAACCATATTGGCACAAACCCACACAATGAGGCTCGAGAGTATAAAGCGCATCCGCAGGGATCTTCGATAAGAAGCCAACATGACCAAATATGTGCTATAAGAACCGAACGCCAAGTGCAATCCATGCCGGAAGAATGCGCAACCCTAAATAGCAGAAACGCCGGTAAAATGATGGGGGATTCTTGCCGAATCCAATGCAGGTTCACGTCGTCATGATTACAAGGTAAATCGAGTGAGGTATAGAGCTCGTCGAGCGAATATGAAAGTTATTTTGTGGCGTTGGCAAAATCATGTCATCTTATATTTGAGAGGCGTCGTTCGCACGGGCAGATCGACGGCACCTCGTCGTCGCAGCGACCGCTTTCGTTTCCTGCGCATAGTATAAGCAAGAAGTCTATCAAGCACTCCGTCAACTATGACTTACGAAACTGCATCCCAAACCAGAGTTTCTTCATTGAAATGGTGACTGCGAAGTGGGTGTCAGTTTACCAACAAGACCGCCGGAAAGAAAATGGCGCAAACGTACTCTTGAAAATCCGTGGCGGTCAAGGCCTTGGATCCATATTCCTCTTCAAGAAGCTTGACGTATTCGAAGGGAATCTTAACTGGGAAGTCTTCAAAGCGACTATTCCGGAGCGGGAAGATGTCATTTTCCTTGGACAAAAATCAGTCATACTGGCGTGCGACGCTGAGGGCAAGCTACTTACATCAAAATGATGTTTGTCTTTGCACATTAAAGCTCCGGTGTCGCCCTTTTTTCTCTTCTCATCGTCCGGCCGTACTGCAGTAATATCGATAAACAATCCCGACGAGGTATCAATCCACCGTGCATCAATGACGTTCATTTTGTCTTCGATTGAACGGAAAACGTAGTTCGGGTTGATCTCGAGTAAATAGGTTCGCCCGCCCTCGACGCCTGGAATATCGAAATGGTGCTCGGTCATATTGTAATATTCATCCAGGAAATGGATGGTCGGCTCCGAAATCTGGACATCGATATCATTGTCCCATGGGAAGATCTAGCCGTCATTAGGAAACGCCATATGTCTTCATATCCCATGGTCTCACGCTACCTTTTGGTTCCACCACCACGCCAGAAGAGTTCCGTGCATTATCCATGTTTCAGCACCCATATCGGCCATGGTTGACAGGTATGTTCGAATGAGTTGGGATAGGTGTGGCAGCGTCTCTTCCTCCGAAAGCTCTTGGTCGGCGTACCTACAAATAACAAACTTTAGTACATGCGCCAACCCGGAACAGAGAACTCAAAAAACATACCTTCCATCATAGTGATAGTGGAAACTATTGTCGAACCAGTTAGTTCAGCAAATCTAGAGAAAGCGAAACCGATGACGTTGCAAAACACATACCTAGACTCGTCTAATGACTTGGTTAGCAGTCGCTTAGAATTTCTCGGAACAGTAGGCACTTACGGAAGTATTTCTCTGTCGCTGGTTCACTGGGGCCTGTGCCGCTATAGTCCTTGACAAACTTTGTCCTTACACTTTTGAAATCGGGGTCGGTATCCGAGATGGCCAACGCACCCACGGCGAACACGAGCCCGTAGAGACCAGGAAGCCACGGGGATGTGGAAATCCACATTGCGTGTGAGAGAACGAATGGTGTCTCAAGTTTGCCGCCAACTTAACTCCTTTCCAATGTTGTTTTGGTGTTTTGGAATGTCAATGTAATTTTTTTTATTTCCTCCTTTCCTAATTCAGTCCAATGACGAATAAGCCTGCATGCCCAAGTGGTACCGGTGGCACAGGGCGTTTATAAGGTAGGCCGGGGTTGCTGGTGCGGGAAGGACGGAAGTCCGTCAGGAATCCGATATGCGCCCGGGGGGATCGAAGTTGAGATCGGCAAAATCAATGTGTCACAGCGAGCGAATTGAAGTATAGTTATCGTTTGGGGACAAGGGAGGTTATTGGGGAGAAATAATCTTCAATTACCGAAGAAATTGGGACCGTCCAGCAGATATGTAGGGATCTGGAATGCCAGATCAGTGGGTCAATTTGGATTTTATGGCAGTCGCGTGCTCAGTTACTTGGTGGCAAGTCATTAAATAGCCTTGATCTAAGACAACCTTCGTTGCTGCTGCCATGGAAAGCCTTGTGGACCTTGGCGCTGCAGATTGGTTCTTTGATCGGGCCACTCAGAGGCGCGACGGCGTTACTATGATTAAGTCGAGAGAGGGGCCGTTCCTCGCTGCATTTTGAATTCCCGTGCTTCCGTGCATAACAAGAACACCCTTATCATAAAATTTCATGGAATTCAAGGCCTCCCACACTGAACACTGCCCACGACATGCACCGTCTTCCAGATCCTTTTGTTCGCGGTAATTCCACCAGTAGCATGCCCTTCCCACCACAGGTACCGCGAGGAATCTCGATTTTTTTCCAGTGGCATTGGTTGAATGGGAAGATATGGGGATGAGGCCGCGTCATGGCTGCGTACTGAGTAATCCCGCTTTTCCCAACATCAGATTAACGAGTCAGTACGTGGTTCTATTGGAGCTTTGGGATGCTACATTGGTCTCCCAGATCGTATCGCCAGAGTATCCTCGGCCCCCTATTCTTCTATCTTGAAGAAAAGACATCGAACAAGCCAGTTGATGTGAGCGGACACATTTGCCGACATGCCTGTGCAACATACCTCTTTTACTTTACTATGTATTTCTATGTATAGTCACGGCGTGTGGAGCCTGGAGGACCCACTGTCTAGATAAACAGAGACCTAAACAGAAACCCGGAAAAAAAAAAAAGCAAAAGGGGAGAGAGAAGAAAAATTCCCAAAATAAAAGAAACAACGTCAGACGCGATAACGAAGGAGATTATATTTCACAAAGGTTCATATTCAGCCCCTATCGCGCAATTGCTTCCCCTTTTTCGAGAGACGTGTCGGTATACGTATCCAGCATCGAGACCCCGAACACAGGCAGCAATATGAACTTCAATCCCCCCAGCATTGCCAAGGAAACTAACCCACCACTAAAAAGGAGAAGGATCCGGTTGTCAGTTGAAGACCGTTGGGGTTGTGTATTGACGTCAACCGGGCTACTGCGAGACAATTCCATGGTTCTGCACGGAAAGTCTTCAAGTCCTACCCTCGATATGCAATTTTCACTCCACTAGCCACAGGTAGAGTCGCCTCAAACTGGCTACCTTTCTATGTTACAAATATGCCGACTGCTATAGCGTTCTTATTCTATGTATAAAACGGTAGTGATGGTATTTCTTGTCACGTAGATTGAAGTGATATGTATTATGAATACTATTTGGGAGTATACTGTTCGAGGTAGAACTCGCATAGCCGAATTTAGACGCCATATCCGCTACTTTGTATCCCGTGGATTTAATCTAAATGTAGCCGCCACAAAGTGTATACCGGGGTTATAGATCCGTAAATTACTGTGTAGAAACGATGCACACCCCTTATTGAACATGGCAGATAATCCATCGCTTAAATTGATTATCTGAAACACACCCAAGGTACCATGTGCCGTGAAGTTGCACCAGAGCAGAGCGTTGCACTCGGGAATCGTCGGTTCTGTTATCCGACGGGTTGAGAGAACTCCATGCGGAACGGATTAGGGGGTTGATTTCTGCAGAGTATATCGAGTAGTATTGTGTACCCCCGCAAATCTTGGCTCCTGACATCTTCGACGTCATTTCTGGCCAGCCAACGCCGTACCCTCTCATTCCGGCATCTGGGTATAGAACGCCGGCCTCTGGAGCCCAAAGATAGGCCCAGAACCGGAATAGACTTAGTGACTGGACACCCTGTCCCTGTAAAGTACCCATGCTAAGCTGCGCAATGCCGAAGCTACCGGCAGTGGCTTGAAGTTGGCTGGGTAACCCTGTTCGATCTCTAGTACTGCTCACTCTACGGAGTACTCCGTAGCATGAAGGACATTGCAACAGTATTGTGCTGATTAATGTCCGAATATCCTAGTATACGAGCGTTTAGGATACATAGAGAAGATGGTAGGTATTCTGCAACAGAAGCTGGTTCTAGGGCTCGTGTCGCATGATGAGCCTTGCATTCCGTCTGACCAATGTGTGAATGGCTTGGGCGTTCGAGGATACATGGCAGTGAAAATACCCTATCCATGGTTTAGGCCCAACGAGCGCTACATCCCGACAACATATTTTCTGGGAACGGCTAATAACTCCACGTAGCGTGACCACCACATTGTGTCTTGATTCCGGGAAGACGAAGAGAAGGGGATTGCTAAAAAAGCTTGAGAATAATTGTAGATGCAAAAAGAAATCGCCGTCCCAGGTGAGGATCGAACTCACAACCTCCTGATTAACAGTCAGACGCGCTAACCAATTGCGCCACCGAGACGATCTTGTTGAATTGGCTCAGTGTGGCTTGACTTATAAGCCTTAAACTTTTGGCCTCAGGTCTAGGTACTTATGTGCAGTGGTGACTCTTGGCATAGATAATCTTTCCTGATGATTGTGTGAATGTATATTCAATAAAGGTTGTTTGTAAAGTAACTGTTCTCAAGAAAGTCAGTAGGCTTAAAGAACAATAATCCATAGACTACAGAACAGCAACCACAGTATCTCAGAGTACATAGCCAAGATGGCCATGGTATCCCGTGAATACCAAGTATTGCGCTAGTATTAGATACGTCACAGGAAGGAACACCTAGATAAATCTGATCTGCACGTGACGAGGCAAGCCTCACCTCAAGGCACGACAGTTGTTCCACCACCGGCGCCTGGCCGCCAACGCGTCGACAATCCCCGGCAGCGCATCCACCATCATCGTCAATCGGACATCAGATACACTCCAGCTCAAGAATCCACAGTCACCATGGGAAAGAAGAGACGTGGTCCCACCTTGGATGAGCTTCTAGCTCGTCCGTGGTGCTACTACTGCGAACGTGATTTCGATGACCTTAAAATCCTCATATCGCATCAGAAGGCGAAGCATTTTAAATGCGAGAGGTGTGGGAGAAGGCTGAACACTGCTGGAGGTGGGTTGTGATATCTTTCTCTGTTCTATTTTGATGGACCGATTCTAACCCCGCGCGAACAGGATTGTCGGTACATATGAGTCAAGTACATAAGGAACAGTTATCGGCTGTTGACAATGCGCTTCCTAACCGGCAAAGTCTTGACGTTGAGATCTTCGGCATGGAAGGTGTCCCCGACGATATCATCCAGACTCACAACCAGCGGGTCGTAACACAGTTCCACCAAGCCGAGGCGGAGCGACAGGCCCAGACTGGTAACCCTCCTGCTGGCGCAGGCGTTGGCGGACAGCCAGCGAAGAGACCGAAGCTTGAAAATGTATCGGATCTGAAAAAGCGACTGGCAGAACATAAAGCCAAAAAGGCCGAGGCTCTGACCGGCGGAAGCAGCGGTGACGTGACGCCTGTTGGCGCAGGACAAACACAGAATGCGGGTTCCTTTGTAAGTTTGACATAGTAGATTTGGCTGTTCAAAGTTCCCTGAGGCTAACGATTGCGACGCAGAGCCAGTCACCCTCGGCAGCCGCGCCAAACTCACAGTACACATATCCTCAGCCGTACGGGGGTGCGGGCTCTCCCTATCAACAAACGGCCAGTCCGGTCTACCAGAATTTCTCACCTGGCGGACAAACACAATTCCCCCCTAGTGCGCAGTATACTCCAGCGGGGTACTCCCCGCAATCATTCCAGGGCACTCCCGGTCAGACCGGCGCAGCTTACGGAACACCACCGCCTTTCCCTCAACAACAGCCACAGCAACCGACTCCTCAAACCAACACACCCCCACAGGCTGGCGCATTTGCGCAACGATCTGGGAGCTTACCAGCTGCCCCCGGCCTTCCGCAACGGCCTGCCGTGGGTGCGCCACAGGTCAATGCCTATCAGCTACAGCAAATGCACATGGGCCATCCGGTTCCGGCCACGGGTGCACCTGCTGGCGCTGCTAATAGCGAGAAGCCCCCAGGAGCCGAAGCCACACCGTTCTCATCGTCTGTTGACGACCTCATCTCCGGTGCTGCCAAAGAAGCAGACCAAGCAGCCGCCACCGCTGCCCCTCCCACAGAAGAGAAGCCCGCCAAGAAGGACAAATCCAAGCAGTCAAGATTGGTGTATTCTGACAATGAGACCAGTCCGGAGGAAAAGATGGCGAAACTGCCCAGGTACGCATTCGTTCCCGATCGTTTAGGGGAAACGGCGCTCCAAGAACAAGTTCCTGCGGCCGTAACAGGGGCCGAACGGGGTCCGGATACGGTATTCGACGCGACGGATTAATTTCCTTACCGAAGAACTCGAATGGTTGGCGACAGGAGATAACCGACTGTCTCGAAGTTCGGCCCGACGGAGCGCAAAAGACTCGCGAGGTCAACGGACAGGGATGGACCACAAAAATCCAGCTAAGTTCGATTGCATGTCAAAAATTCTAGATACACGTTTTGATGATCTATCTTCTGGTCATGCTTTACTGCGTCCTGCCCTGATCTTCTATCAGTAGGTGGCGGCCTTTGCATACACGGGCCTTGCAGCAGGCATCGCATGCATGTCCACCGTGGCTTGTTTTTTTTTTCTCTTTGACCGTGCACCCCCCACGCCATGGTTACGCGACATGAGCGACGATAAGTGTTGGTGAGTTGGTCGTCGAACTTTACTGAAGGAGCTGATCTTCGCGCAATGCGTTTCTTTTACTGCCGTCGGTCCGAACCGGTCTACTTAACTGTAAGTTCTGGTGAAGGTAGGCAATCATCCATTTGCAAATAAATCTCGGATAGTTCAGTTGTATCATCTTAAGACCAAAGAATAACCCATGTAATGAATGACAACGCACAACCATCAATCAAATGACATTTAGAGAGAGAAAAAAGAGGACTCAAATGGTATAATCATACACAACCCCCACGACCTTACAATCTCAAAATGAAATGACTCAATCAATCAATCAATCACTAGGACTGTAGACCCAAACTCATTTCAATTCCTTCCCAAAACAGCCCTCCCAAAAACCAAAAGCCCATAAATAGCCACAAAGCTCAACCCAATCGGCACCGGCTTGCGGGTCTTAATCGCCCTGGGGATGGAGCTCCCGCTCAGGACAATAGAGGCCAAGAGACCCAGCTCATCACCGTAGGCCTGGCCCGAGCGCAGACGCTGGAAACTGTAGAGGTAGAGGGCGCCGACAGAGAGACCGGCTGCGATGGAGGGGACGGAGCCGGTGCGGGCGTAGCCGATTACTCCGCCGAGGGAGGTGAGGATGGAGAGGGAGAGGGCGGAGTTGGTTTCGAGGGACTGCTATCTGTTAGTTTTGGTTGTTGGAGATGTAGGGGGGTTATTTGTGGGGGTGGGAGGACCATTTTGAGGGGTGATTGCTTCTGGGGTTCTTTTTTAGGGGTTGTTGTGTTGTTTGGGGGTGATTGTATGGAGGAGGGATGGAGGATGAGGTGATGGGATGGGATGGTGTTATGGGTGGTATGGCTTCGGAGTTAAGCTTGGCTGGGGGAAAGCTCCGAGATGACAGCTTGGGGTGGATTATGTTGGCTATGATTGGTCAATGAGTGGGTCTCTACAGGAGAACAGTAACTATACTAAGTATGTACTGGAACTAACTTGAAGTAGTGTAAGTAGATACACAATGTATGTAGCTTTCATTCTATTATAACTGAAATGGTACATTCGACTATCGTTCATTTTATATGGCCATCATTTGTATGTCTTTCGTGATCATCAACTTCTATATCCGGTCGTGGAATCGGTTCTGCGATGGGCGGTTGTTAAGCTTAATGCGGTTGCTAGACACCGACACAAGTAGCCTAGACTTTATAAAAGCTTGTGGTTTGAAACTGATTAGTGGCTTGTCCTGGGCTCAGGGGACTGGCGGTGATCAGCTGCCCCGTAGCCGGTTTCCTGTGGTTCATCCTGCTCCTCTTCAGCATCGTTGCCCTGGAATCCATCGGGTTCAACGGTCCAATAAATAGGGACAGCGCTCAAAGTGCCGAAAATGGCGAGGATCCACCAAGGAAAGATGACGTATCCTTTCTTTACGCCGAATGTGAATGCTGCACCGCAGATGGCGGGCCCGGCGGCTCGTCCCACGGCGCTGATACTCGTGGCAACTCCGTTCAGGGTCCCCAGCACGGTTAGGCTGGTGGCTGAGTTGGTCAGCAGGATCGTGATGCTGGGGAAGCCGAAGATGGTCGCGGCGAGCTTTGAGAGCATGAGGATGAAAACTGCTACGTGACGCAGAGACTCTGGTACCAAAGCAGTGAACGGGGTTACAAGGTAGATAACGGGAAATACGAGGACCATGGCCTTCAAACAATTGAGGACACCAAATCGCTTGGCCGCGCTTGGGAAGACCAGGAATTGCAGAAACATCCCGATGATTCCAATAAGAGTATAATATAAGCCGATCGTTTGGGAATCTGAGAGAAGAAATTAGACGGTAGATAGGGGACAAATCATGATCTCACAGGGACTTACCGACGCCAAATCCTCCTATGAATTTGAATGGTAGGTGCACATCCGGGTTATCATGGATTTGCTGGACAGGAGTATGCAGGAACACTGGGAGAAGTGAGTCGAATGCCATCGTGTGCAGCGCCATCAAGGCATACGCTATGAGTATCAGTTTGGACTGTGGCGAGAACACTTCCTTCCAACTCGGTCGTTTGACTGGGGCTTTCTTCCGCTGGGGCGGGTTCCCACCCAGCAAAGGGGTGTTCTCATCGTCCTGCACTGCGTACCGCGCTTTCTCCTCTCGGGAAGTACTGCAACTGGTCAGCATTTTGCCCAATACCAAGCCGTAGTCGCGGTGGTCCTTCCTCGTTGCCAGCGTTTCCTGTATCTTGTTAGACACTGTCCTTAGATAATCTATGTGGCCATCTTACATGCAAGAACAAGAACCCCGTCGCAATACCAACGATAAAGAGAATGGCAGACGCTATGTTAGGTAAAATGAAAGGATTCCTCTTTAGAAACTCCGAGTTGCCAAAGATATCCGGGTGCTTCTCCGCCGGATGTGCTAGGGCGCCTCCGAAAGCAGGGCCAAAGATAGTACCAATAGTCCACACCAGAGGCATGACGCTAAAGGCACGGGGCTGCAGCTCCTTCTCTGGGACCATTTCGGCTACCATCGTACGGATAATGCCAACGTTACCGTTCATGAGCCCGAGCAGTGCGCGGGTGACCACTATCCATCCCAGGGTTTGCGAGAAACCGAACAACAAGGAAATAACCATGGTGCAGGTCAACCCCAACAGGATGATCGGCTTGCGACCGAAGTGGTCCGAGGCAGTGCCCCAAGTTACAGCCATGACAGCCTGACTGATGGACGTGACGGCGGAGGAGATGCCGACCCATTTGGCGACCTCATTCTTCGGAACTCCTACATATTCGATCATCTCCGGCTGCACAGTAGTCAGATATCTGCGAGATAGACATGGCCAACGAACAGATTCAGGAACGGAGTGACAACCAAACCAACTAAGGGCAAGGCAAGGGGAGCGATATTATCTGGGAATAAAGGTGGTGCCTACAAGATACGGCAAAACAGAAGTCAAAACCACTGTGGACGGGAACAGATCATTTTAGCACTTGATCGCGCCATCATTGACCGATCTAATAGCTAGAATCGGAAAACTCTGCAAGACGAGTTCAGTTCACTGTACGTACCAGGCTCAGCAAAGCGACATATTGCTATTTGAGGCGGAAGAAGTGACGAGGCACGCGATCAGTATAGAACCGAGCGACAAGGGTTTGGCAGGTCAACTTACAGAGAATTATTAGCTGCCGAACCGGCAGCCTTGGCTGTTTTTCCTGCATGAAGACCGGGGCAAATGGCGTGCTCGAAATCTTATATCAATGAGGTCTTGATAGGCAGTCGATCACGGTCGACAGCTGTAAGAACGGAAAGAAAGAGAGAGAGAGGAGAGGAGTCGAACGCAAAAGAGCGGAGATGACGAGGTGAAACCGACGACAATTGAAGATAGTAAAGAAAGAACATCGCAGCAGTGGAGACTAAAGACGGGCTGGTGGGTCAGCACAATCAAAACAAGTTAATAGTCATGCTTGGACCCGTGACTCTCTCTCCACTGCAAGGGCTTCGGATTCTTTTCCGATTTTATGAGTCAAGAGATCCTTTACTCCGCTTTTATATCACTCGTATTGAAGACCACAGCCTCTCTCATTCCTTGTCGGACACACCTCGGGGTAATAAATAGGCTTAGATCCATGTAACATGCATCTGCAACCATGACTGAGAAGGTATAGTACTCTGTATTGAAGTCCTACTACGACGCATCCTGCGGTCAGCTGCTATATACATTTCTAACCACCAACGCTACGTCACATTCTTCTCTGTATACTACTGATTCTGAAGCTACGATGGTAGATGTTCTCAGCTCCGCTTTCTCCTGCCATCTATCCAACCACCAATGATCATCTATCTGTATCATTGAAGCACTTTCGTAGCGGCTTCCAGGCGATCAACAATGATAGAGCGCCATTTCTAAGGAAAATCTCACGTTAGCGGAGTCGTCATGAAAGCTGAGCAGGGTGTTTTCTGCCTTACCTGGGCATTTGCCGCATCACCGGCATCAAAACTCTCCACCAAGCCAGGGTACGTCGCACCCGAGTATCCGGTCCAAAGGCCGGGCGCAAACACCACATGCTTGAACCACTCGCGCCCATCGAGTCCGGGTTCGTACAAGAAAGCCCGTTCAAGGGCCTTGTACTTGTCATTAACCACGCGAATCTGGAAGTAGAGCCTAACCTTCTTCCACCACAGGTACCAGGGAAGATCTTCATCCAGCTGGGCGGTCAGATCAGCGGCATTGGCGTCAAATTTCTGAGCCGTAGCCTGGAACTCGGCGACTGCTCTGTCCAGAGACCCGAAGTCGAACTCGCCGCCAGGCAAGTTCTTTGCACTGGGCTTGATCTTCTCCAAATATTGACCAAGACCAGCACTATAGTCAGACGCACTAAATGACAGTACAGGGGCCTCGACCAGCTTGGCGGCCGCCAGGGACCAGAGCTTAGTGCAGGCTTCATGGTAGAGCCAATTAGGGTCACCAAATCGATCCATCCAGTCGAAGCTGTCATAGTTGGAGTGATAGTGGTATACGGGGTCCTTGGGGCCACGGCCGAAGCCCAGGTCAAGGCTGGCCACACCCGCAAAGTCCTGGAAAGCAGTGAAGTCACTACCGCTACCCATGGTCGCAATGTGGCCATCCCAGACATCACGAACCGTTTGGCCTTCAATAGTCTGGTTGGGAGACTGGACGAGGCTAGTAACCTCATAAATCAAACTGTTCAGGAGCGGGGCTGCCCGAGGGCCAAGAACAGTTCCAGAGGCAGCCACGTCAACATTGAGATAAGCAACGTTGGCTTTGGAAAGCCACGGAAGCTTGTCTTCCACCCACTCTGTTGATCCTAGCAGTCCATACTCTTCTCCGTCCCAGCTGGCAAAGACGATTGTGCGCAATGGCTTCCAACCTGCCTTGAGAGCTTCGCCAAAGCTGCGAATAACTTCATTGAGGACAGCGGAGCCACTGTTCGGGTCTCCAGCACCACCAGCGATCCACGCATCCCGGTGGTTGCCCAGAATGACCACCTCGTCCGGAATAGCACCCTTGATGGTGCCAATAACGTTCCACAGGGGGGTAGTAACGTATTCTTGTTGATTGTCCAGGTTAATTACCACATCATCTGGTGAAGGGCCAATGTTATATTCAACGCCCTTGCTGCCAAGTTTTCCGCCATGCCATCCCTTAGGGAAGTCCACTGCTTTGGGACCATGTCCATTAAGAGCCTTCAAAAAGGGTATGGCCTCCTTGTACGAGATTGGAATCGAAGGAATGGATGGGATCGCATGACTAGGATCCTTACGGTCACATCCGGGCTTGGATGGCCAACCAGGTGTAGTAGGATCGCCGGGTGCAAAGCCTGATTCACAGTCAATCAACTATTTATCGATCTAGCACATGAATGCCGTGGGGACTTACTCAGGAATTGGGTGCTACCCCGTTGCACAGCACTAGGATTCCGGGCCGGACCCTCGGGGTACGGCTTGTATCCGTTTTCCTCGGTAACCTCACCATCGCCCTCTGGGTCGTCATACAAGATCACACCCACCATGCCCAGCTCCTGTGCGCGCTTCACCTTCAGACCACGGAAGATGTGGCCATACTTGGCGATCGCAATCTTGCCAGCAAGACTGACATTGGCATCAACCAAATCTTGGTAATCCTGATAAGAGCCGTAATTGACGTAGACGAATGGAGCAGTGACATTTCCAGTGGCCGAATAGCCATGGAAAGTAGGCACGCGGTCAGGCAGACCACTGGTGCCATCCTCCTCTAGGACGTCTTCTTCTAGGGTAGCCTCGAACGTAACTTCAGTCTGATCCTTGGACTTCTTTAGCAGAGCCAGGCGGTGGTCCAGAGGGTAGTTGATGTAGACGTCGTAGGCCACGATTTCAGTGTCCTGGATGCCAAACTCTTGCCAGCGCTCTTGGGTCCAGATCGCCTGGCTCAGGTTTTTGCCGGCGAGATGAGGGCCTGCCGTATAATAACTGCTCCATTCCCGTGCTTTCTCCGCGGACGGAGTCGTCTGAAGAATTGCCTGCAGCTCCTCATACTTGAGACCGTGACCCTGGGGCCAAGCCTTATGGGGGAATGGACGCGCTCCAGGGAGATACGACCAGATGGAGCCATGCTCCCGGGGAAAGACAGCTGTGGGAAGAAGGAACAAGAACAGAGAAAACACGAGCAGCGTTCCGAGAGTGAAGCTACAGAACCGTCGTAGCCTATTATGGGGATACCGGTGCCGCTGGGGAGCGACGCTGACCACCTGCAGGAGGGGCGTGGATTCGGAGGGCGCCATGGTGTGTGGCATGGACTTCTCCCTCATCTCGGGGGGCATGGTTCAACTAAGTGAATTGAGGGGATCGGAGGAAATAGCGGTCAGACATGGAACAGACGATCGCTCGCATTGATCAATCTGCGTGTTCAGTGTGACAGCTCCTATGCAAGGTTGGAGAAAGGGCGAGAGGATTTGGGGGCGCCTGGAGGGCTTTTTATCTAATCGGCAGCCCTACGTAATGGACAGTCATTGGGTCTCTTTATCGGTCCCGTGCGGAGTCCGGAGCAAAAGCGGAGCTCAAAGCTTATCGACGTTCCCGTATTAGCCGAACGCCCAGTTTGATAGCTACAACTTAGTTACTATTCTTGCTGGGAAAAGTGTTACTCCATACTGTCTCAATCCTACCACGGCTCCTACACAACTGACGACCCGGCCGCCTTGCTCGTTGCATGCTACTACTCTGGTAAGAAAAAAAATCAAGTCCGTACATTGAAACCCACGAATCGCACGCCATCCGTCGCGTATATGAGGCAATCTTCCATCATCAACATCGTCGAAATCACAAACACAAGAGGTATCACGTGCCACGCTTCTCTTATATACAATCAAGACCAGATACGCAGTATGCGAACAGGAAGGGAAAATCAACAAACAAGCAAAGAAAGAAGAACATGAGGGTACAGTTACTCATCAACTGAATGCCCCTCAAGTTCTTCGGGAATCGGAACCTTGTCGTTCAATGCGAAGTTTAACTTTTCACCAATATCGATGCTATCGCGCAAGATCTGCCGAGCGGCTTCGTCGCTAACCCCCATGTCTTCCTTGACCAGTCGGACCGCTAGTTCAGGCACGAGCACAGCTTGTGCGTAACCCACCACGCCAGCCGACTTCACAATGTGGTCGCTGGCCGCCAGGCGGCGTAGCTTACGCGAGAAACGTGTGGTCAAAGCTTGTAACCTGTCCAACCCTTGCATTAGCTTCGGATGTATTACAATTGGGGCGAGTAACAGAGGAAGCCTCACATTTTACCAGAGCCTCGAGTCCCGTAATAACCGCAAGAGATCGTCTCCAAACCATCGCCCTCCAGTGTCAGCCGGAAGTTCTTGGCCTTTCCGGCTTTTAAAGTCGAGTCTAGGATGTTTCGGTAGTAGGACTGGCTATCTGGGACCAAGAGGCCCTCTAAGTCATCAAAATAGACACGGATCCGGTCGTCGAACGTATCCCAATCAATAGCTGGATAGCCCTTATCGTGCCACTCTTTCTCGGCCGCGGTCTTCTTATGCGAATCGCAGAACCGCTGCTGCTCTCGAATGCGCTGTTTTGGCTGTGACTGAAACCGTAACAAGAGCTCTGGGTCTACAGCTTCTTTACACCAGGGACATAAAGACTCCTTCGGCTTCTGCACGTCGTTCGCATCATCAAATAGTACATCTTGTAAACCGGTCTCAGATAGCTCGCTAAGCGGGGAGCTAAGGGGCGAAGCATCGTCATCATCCGAGTCGAAGATAGCAGGTTCTCGTGCAGAGGAGGGCGCAAAGGAGGAGCTAGAGACAATATCATTCGGAAGAGGGGGAGGAGCCTTGAACTCGGGGGATGAGCGTGATTTAGACGGCGGGCTTTTGATGTCAATATCCTGAGGGACCTTAAATCCATTATCCTTCTGGGATTCCGTGTCCATGTTCTTTGTTTTTTGTCAGCACTCGGCGAATTGCCAGCCGACTTCGGCTTCAGTCGACTAGAAGAAGGCGAATCATTTTGTAGAGGCGTGCTCGATTTCGTGGAATAGACTTCAGAGTTGCGCTTCTTCTTAGATCCATAATCGGCCCTAGACCTCTTCAGGGTTTGTGAAGACCACCCACACTCTAGAAAAGGATCGCCATTGTCATTCTCATCGACGGTAACAGTATCTTTTAACGCCCTCTTACGACTCGAGCGTTGAGGCCTCGGACTCTCAAATCCTCTCTTTGTCCGCGGGGTTTGTAGCGATGTACTATTGTCTCTCGACGTCTCCGCTAGTTTCTCCTCCAAAGTCGGCCCTGAGCGACGAGGCGTGCTCTCATTCCCGAACTCGTCATCCAGACTGGCATTGCTTCTCGTTTCTTCTTCACTGGAGCTCACAGGTTCATCATCCGTGGCCGGTTCGGGCTTAGTAACAGGCTCAGGGGCTTCTTTGTCCCGAAAAGTCGACAGCAGAGGTTTTCCGTGGTAATTTTGTCTTGTCAAGCGGTTCGATGCGTAGCTCGAATCGGGTTTCGGCCGAGGGGTGACCATAGTGGCTCTCGGGTCGGGGAGTGGCTTGGGACGTGCGGCGTGTTTCGGGGCGATTGCGCATTTGTTTAAGTAAGGAAATCGTGCATAGGAATTGTTTTATGAATGAGGGAGAACCAAGTGAAGAGCGATCATTCTCGGAGATCGGGGGGTTGGCAGGAAGACGGGGAGAGACGCGTGTGGTGACACGCTATCGATAACTCCGCATTTAAATCAATCTAAGAAGAAAAAGTAAGGCGCAGCTGATCCTTGGCTTCAACTCTTGCAGAGATCTGACAGCCATTGATGGTCAATTCAATTTAGCTCCATCAATTTTATATTCAGTGGCCATATTTGAAAAAGAATAATAATATATATATCAAATGCAGCTAAGGGGTGTTAACAATAATCTAAACCGCGTCGCAAGACTCGGAACATCGTAATAGCTTGCAATCCTAGCAAGACATGAAGAAGCGCTCAAGATAGTGAAAAAAGAAAAAGAAAAGGGAAAGGAAAGGGCTTGCGACAGATTATTATGCTGCATCGTGCCCTGGATTGAAAAATATGCAAGAACAAAAAAGATATGCTCTCCCAACCAGAACTCGATAGACAATATGGAACCCTGGGTCTCCAATGCAAAATACGGTCAACGATTCGCACCTTCTATGAACGCGAAAGATGAGATAGTGGAAAGCAAAAGGTAACGTTGAAAGGACAGAGGCAGAGAAGATGGAAGAAGTCGAAGATAGGAAAAGGCGAGATATAACAAAGGCAAGCCAACGGATGAAGCAACAACTATTCGTACTTCAGCGAGAATTAGACAACAAATAGCGTATAACCAAGCCTGACACATGCATCTTCGTTCTAGTCTTTATAGTCGTGGAACCACATCACTCGAAACTCATAGAAATCTCTCCTTCTTCCCCGTTCCCTATGTCGTGATCAGCCCAGGCATTGCGCTCCAGAGCCAATGCGCCAAGTGCACTGGCACCGACACCAGCAGCAGCACCGATACCAAGACCGGCTGGCGTCGTCAATGATGATTGCAGCTCTGGCCGTGTAGAATTGGTATCGTATGAAGGAGCAGTTGTGGGCTCATAAAATGAATGTGAACGCTGTGGTGGCTCATGATAGGAGGTATCGAACGTCATTTCTATCTCTTCTTCTTTATGGGTAGAAGGCTGCAGATCATGGGAAGCGCTGGGCACAGAGTAAGGCTTGGGGGGCGACTGAGGGGCGGATTTGGTGAGATTGACAGCTTTCGCAGTATCCTTGCTATCGGACGGAGCCGGCGTAACTGGGGCTGAGCAGGGCGGAGAATTCAAATCAAGCTTCATAGGAGGCAGCGTCGACTCGAGCTGTTTGACTTCGATACTTTCGGATGCGAGTTCGGCTCTGATCGCATCGATATCAAACAACACACTTCCAGTTCCGTTGCTATCGACCGAATCTCGCGGTGTGGCATTGTTACGCTCCACGTCGTATGTTTCCCAGCCTTTCTTTTGAGCCAACTTGCCTCGTTTGAACAAACCGAACCGTTTCTTTTCTGGCTTTGCCTCAGCTTCTCGTCGAGCCTCGTCGATCTCACGGATAAGCTCTCTTTGTCGCTCGGCGTGGTTTTCCGGATCGGGGTCCTCGAGCTCTGCGAACTCGTCTCCCAAAACCTCCCACCCAACCTCTTTCAACAGTCGGGGCATTGCTGCTCGGTAGTCCATATGACCGTTCACGAGCTTGGTAACGTCGAAGTTCTCGAGGCCGGGGATCCCTTCCACGGGAGCGAGACCAGCCACACGCATGATTCCACCGCTTGTTGCACGAAAGAGATAGCCCAGGATCCAATCATTTGAGGAATACCCGTTCACAAAACGGCCCGATACCACACCACGAGCCTTTAAATATTCATCTTTGTTGGCCACTATAGGCGACCCGAATAGATAGACGTTCTGCACGAGTCCGTGAGCACCTCGATCTGCAAGCTCTTTGAGGCAAGAAAAAATAAGGCGAGCGCCGAGAGAGAAGCCCAAGAGTGTGACAGGCCGCTTCCCAAGATTGCGTTCCATCAAAGAATCAGCCAAAATCAGCCCGGCTGCGTTCGCGCGGGCCAATGAAACGATCCATGGGTTATCAATCAAGTACGACAGTTTCGTCAGGACAAGTGGCAACTGCAGAGACGACATTAGGGCTACTAGAACCGTGCTTCCAAGGACTTGTTGCAACCCTTGAGTTAATGCCTAGTAACAGTTAGCAACTACGCAGGGATAGATGTACACAAGAGACGCGTCCTGACACCTACCTCTGTAGCAAGAATATTGATGGTATCTCCCATGCTCCGAAGCATTTCAGGCTCCCAGAGAACCGAATACAGATCTCCCATGATAGGATCCACCGTACTGAAGGGCAATCGGACGTCATCCACCTTACCAGTCATCCAACCAGACACGGTGACAATCAGGTTGACTCTTTTGTTGTTGTGCAGGGGACGGTACTCGAAAGTCTGGACAGCTCCTGTACGCCTGTTGGAAGCCCTCAGCCCAATCGTGGATCCGGTCAAGGTGGCTCCAGAAGCAATAATCGCCGTACCACCCACTCCTCCCAGGAATGCACCAGTTCCTGTGATACCTACAGTGGTAAACCCAGCTGCAAGGCCAGCACCAATCACTGGGGCCAACAACCCAGCGGAGAGACCAATGACCAACCCACCACCAACAGTGGCCAGGCCCATAACGATATATTTTCGCTTCAGGGCCATCTTTCGGCGTTTTTCCATGTGATCCGACTCATCCCAGGTTTCTTTGTCCGCTTGTTCCTGCATTTCCAGAGCATCGACCACGCGCTTTTCGAACCGGGCAATTTGTAGCCAGGGCACTTCCATAGACTCGCCTACTTTTTCCAGTAACGTTCGTGACCGTGCATCATAAGTCGAATCTGCAATGAGGACAAGGAAGAGATCACAGAGCACCGTCCACCGAAGATCTATATCAATCTTTGACGAAGTGGGAAGCTGAGAGGGGGTTCGGACTTCGGGAAGATCTTCGCCTTCGTGTGTCTCATAAGGCGGAGGAGGCGTTGACCTGTCAAAGTCGGAGGATAGACTGCTTCGATATTCATCCTTGAGGCTCGGAGTCGCGGGGGATGATAGGGAGTTCTTCGGCGTGTCAACTTCCTCAGCTAAAGGATTCTTGACTCGAGCATTCTGCATGAGAGGTCGGACAAGATCTGCAGGTTGGACGCCATGTTCCGCCAATTGTTCGATCATCACCTGCTCAGCGGCGTCGATATCCATATGAGCATAGATCCTAGCCATGATTGTTTGGCCCCATTGACGCATTGAGTCAATGGTCTTTTGTTTCGCCTTGCGTGTACCCTTCGTTGCGGGAACCCGGTCCAGGTCTTTAGTCATCTGGAATATAGCCAATCTGGCAACTCCGACGTATGCTATCCTTTGACTCTCCGTCAGCAGATCCTTTGTGGCCTGCAATTGACTGACGGCGTCGCGCAGCTCCTCCTCCCCTTCTACACCAGTAGAGTTGTGAGCTGCTTCCCTAAACAGATAGCTTGTATCTTCATCTAGACTTGTCGCCGACTGAGCGTCTTCATCAAGTTGCACTCGAGTATAGCCCTTTCCAGCGCCTCCCAAGCCCCTGTACACTGCGTCATTATCCTCTGGTTTGGCACCACGAGCAACTAGTCTCCCAAAGTCGTCATAAACATCGAACTCGTCAATAGCAGGCATATCCTGCCACCCACCATCACTTTGTACTTCATCCTCGTCCTCCGATTCCTTAGACTCATAAAGCCGCTGATGTGACCATTCCGAAGCTTTCAGACTCGACCGTTTCTTTTGTACAGCATCTGACTGTGTAGAAGCAGAGGGGTTTTCTGCACTTGGCTTTTCCGTGTAAGGAGGCGGCGAGGGGCCGTCCTCGTGGTCAGGGAGTGAGCCACCAGAGGTAGCATGTTTCTCATTGCTCGCAGGTACGCTTGAATCCTTCTCTCGGGGAGATTCAACAGGATGCTGTTCGACTGCTGGTGAAGATTGCGTCCCGTTCTCTGCATCCTTTCCCTTCTCGACTGATTTTGTGTTTTCCTCCTCCTGGGGTGCTTCTGGCTTTGGATCATTTGTTACGGGCTTGCTCTCCTGTGAAGTTGACTGGTTATCACCTGGGCCCGAGACAGCCTCTCCAACATCGTGGAATTCCTCATCATCAGACGATTCACTCGAGCGTACAGGCCGAGCACGAATTCGAATCGGTAGCCCAAACTCATCTACCTCCTCTGTTGTCGATTCTGCCGTCGGCTCCCTCCCCGCATTGCCCCCGGCCGGACTAGCATTCTCCTTCTGTGATATGATATCGGGGGATCCTGTACTGGCCGTGATCTGGGCATGCTCCGGTTCGTGCGAAACAGCGGGGTCGCGAGAGTGGTCAACGGTCGCACTGGAGGTCATACTTCATCGGTATCCCTAGGTGGAAATCGGTTTCAATCGCCCAAATCCTGTCTTTCACCCTTTAACCACCGTGAAGATTCCCGCATAGACCACGCATAAGATCACCCATGCGCGCGAACGCACCGCCACGAATTACCTACGCTGCCAATGTACTCGCACGTTCCGGGCACAGATCGTGACGAGCTCAGACTGTCGGGGGAGCTCAGTCGTACGCTGACCGTTCTCAATCTCTTTCGGGGGAATGGAATTGATACAGCCGTCGGTATAGATTCAGGGGGACAGGATTCCTCGTCGGGTGGGGTGTCACCGATAGGCAACAGGAAAGTTGAAAGAAGTGGAGGGCGTGTGTGAAGAGTTGATCGGGAGCGCAAGGACCTCTTTGTTTTTCTTCTTCTCCTGTGTTATTATTTTTGTTCTTTTCTGTAGAAAGCAACGATTCCGGGTCTTGGCTAACAGGCCTCTCTGCGACCGGGCAGTGTGGTGCAATCGTCCCGAAAGCGGCAACGGGGGTGGAATGAACCCGTGGTTTGCGGAAGAGAACCTTAAGAGAACGAGACATGGTCAGGGCAGTGCTCACGTCAGTGGCTCTTTAGCGTGTGTGTCTTGGGGGATGTCTCGAGTATTGTAAAACCCTCCGGCCCCCCCCCCCATTGTTGTCAGCATTGGGCTATCTTTATATGCCCCTAAGACAGTTCTTTCAATCTGATACATTGATCCAGTACCATTATGAATAAGGTTACATCCGACCACGATCGTGGTTCTCCTGGTCGGTCGGCAATACTGGTTGCATTTACCCATTGATACACGTCTGTTACAGATCGATTAGCTAATCCGGGGCCTCTGCGGAGTTGATTTCCTGGGCTCGCTTATTAACTCCGTATAAGGACGATACTACTCCGTACCTAGTAGTAATTACTTCTAAAGTGAACTAGAGTAAAGGATCTTAGGAGTAAACACTATGCTCATAGAAGTACTCGACCATGTGACTGGATTCCTTTTTGAACCCTACGACCAAATTTATACATCACTCTAATTTTGAACCAACAAACGAATGTCCAAGACGTCACCTTTCAAATATATATCTTCACTCAAATATATGGTCTCCAATTGTCCATATAGCACACACACACACCAAAAAAAGAAAAGAGAAAGAAAGAAAGAAAGAAAGAAAGAAAGAACACAAAAAACATACCCGACACAAAGTAAACTGACTAAATCGAGCACCATAGAAAACACCATATCTAATGAATCCCAGAAAAACCCGTGATTCTCTCCACCATAGACAGAACCACAGTAGCACCATTTTCCCACGATGGCTTGAAAACCCCCCCAGTCACCGTGAAGGAATACCCACATTCTAGAAGAATGACCTCCCTTCGCCAACGTCTTCGCTGTACCACCCTTATCTAGATCTCGTCGAGCAGTCCGACTTTGGTCGGTTTGTACGCCGGCCACCGGTTCGGCATGCGGGTTCGAGAGGTCTTCTCTGGCATTGTCGGCTCTTGATCTGGCCCGTCCCATCAGGGTCCCCCGGTCACATGGTTTATGGGTTGGTTATTGTTCAATAGGACAGGAATCATATTATCGAAGGTTATGAGGGAACTCACGGGGGGCCGAGGGCTCCTTGTGAGATAGACCAGAGAGATAGATCAAAGGGGCCTGACATATTACTTGACGTATGTAGTTATCGTGGCCTTGTGAATCTCGCAGCTTCTTACTATGAAAAGAATCTAACTGTCTGGAGGGGGCTTTTTGTATCTCTGTAGAGTGTTAGGGCTGAGGGTTACAAAATCCTCCGTCAGAGGGTCCATGCTCATCAGCCTGTCCTTATTGGATATTGGAGATGAAGAACTTGGATGCTTTTTCTTTTTCAAAGCAATGTACTTTAATACAGCGTGCACATAAACGAAGGGGAGTAGTTTTGTTGTATTAAAGTCGTACCTCCCCAAGAGTGGAGACCACAATCATTGGTAGTGGAATCCACACTGACATGCTTTTCCACAAGGCTATTATCTGCCGATGGAATGCCGAATATTGATTGAGACTTAGTCAAAATTAAACTTCTCCCGGATCTAAGAAACTCTAAGTGGGCAAACTATCCAGTATGCATATTTTAGCGACTGAGCTCAGACTCGGCTATCTCTAGAACCACGGGAAATTTCACGGTTGCCGACGAAACGGGCGCAATACGCACGGCTGGGACGCACAACGTTCGCAACCCATGAAAAATCAAATACTAGTACTGCTGGAAAGAGTCTCGCGGAGTCACCTCCGTATTTAGCCAGGCAATTTAGCCGTGCCAAACTTCCGCAGATGCTCTGGAAGCATGCCGAAAGTGGAAACATTCCCACGATCCGTCGGACGTTCGGGGTCGACCGAGTCTCCGAGAAAGGGAACGTCGAAATACGCGCTGCTACGAACTAAACCGTTGGGGGCCTTCCTCCGAAGTTTTCCCACAGGTTTCACCTGATGATTTGATTTGATTTCATTTGATTAGATTTGATTTGATTTGATTTCGTTTCATTTCCTTTCAACCCCTCCCTTTCTTCCTCTGTCCTCTGAGAAATCTATCGAATCTGGGATTCAGTCTCTCTTTCCACGGCGCTGGTCATTGTCCAGAATGACCCATTCCACCATGTCCAGAGAGAAGCGACTAAGAACATTGAACGTTTGATCACGCAAAAAACCCCCCATGGCACCTTCCCGGGAAAAAATGTACTCCAAACTAACTCCGTCCGAACCATCGTACCTGCATTTGGGACCCCTTTACATCCCCGGCAACGGAGGCATCCCGCAGATACTTCCATCGGGAAGCCAGCCGTCAAGCTCCATCCCTGTTCGAGGAGGACCGGGAGGCTGGCTTGGCTGCGGGGGGTCCAGCGCAACACCTGGCTGCGAAAATTCTCCATATGGGTACTGAGTTGGTACCACAGGCGAGCGGTAGCCGGCATATTGATTCATGACATAAACTGGCTGATTAGCTTGATCAGCCTGCCACATTGTGTTCGTGGCCGCCGATGCTCCATAGGCCCCATCCATCGGGTGCATAACTGCGATCTGTGGCACTTCGGCATTCATTGCAAGGGTTCTTACTGGCTGCGATGAGTCGGCCGAGCTGAACTGTGCAGTCTGTATGGGTGCCGGGCTCACAGAGCGCCGTGGACTCGCACTCGGCGGTGGAGCAAGGCCGACGTCAGTCTGCATCTGTCGCTGCTGAAACCGGTCGTACCAGTTTCGAGCCTTCATCCCGACAATATACAACCACCGGCTGGGGATCTTGTACTTCATATTGCCGCTTGCCTCAGTTAGCCTTCTCGTCATGGCCTCTAAGTACATCTCAATATTGACGGACTGAGGGCTCACGAATTCGCCCAAGGCTCCTGACTTGACCGAAAAATAAACCTTCAGGAGTGACATGACGGCTACACCGACTCGGGTGTAAATGAGATTGGGGAGTTTCCGCATCAAGTCCGTGTCACAACTTAGGAAGAAGTCGAGCATCTCTTGAGCTGCATTCATCCATTTGATTGTGATGTCTACGCGAATAGCGCTCAGAGGGGTCTTTGGCCGCTGGTGGGCATCGTCCGGTGCGGGGAGTACATAATACTGTTCCTTAATCGCATCGGGGTCTCGATAACCTTCGCCGACGCCGAGCTCGTAAATAGCGAGGTTGGTAAAATGGTATTCGAAGGTCATCGTCACTGACAAGCAAGAAAGTGGTCAGCCTTGGTCCCGCTATCGTTCCGATCTTCCAGATATCGAGGAGTATTACCGGTGAGCATGTCCGCCGAAACGTTCTTTTTCCAATTCTGCATTTGGTTGTCGAACCACCTCAATATGACCTGGACTCGTGATTCTGTCAGTGGGGTCGTTGAGCTGGTATCGTCCAGACCGAAGGAAGCCATCGCTTGGTCAACGATCTTCTGTAATTCGAACCAGGTCGCCATGTGTCGATCGATCATATGGGGTGAACGCTCCAGATGTTTTACACATTCGTGCATCCAGTCGTTGAAGAGGAGCAAGTTGGGCCGGCGCGTTTTCATGGCAACGCTGTGTCACGGTTAGCAACTGCCCTCTACGCATGTATTCCTTGTCCTTACTTGGAGGCCAAATGATAACACCCCAGAATTGCTCTGGCCTGTTCCGCCATGTGTTCATCGTACGAACCACGCTTGCTCGCTTTGCGGCTTGCATTATTCGGTATCTTACGTTTGGTGGCCAACCCGATCTCCAGGGCCATGGTGGCGGCGATGTGCGTATACTGATAATTCTGCAGTTTCAACGGAGATTCTGGTGGGTAGTAAAAGACAATCATCAGGAGCAATGCCTGAACCAACTCGAACGACTTGTCGCCATTGATGAAAAACCGTTCGGCGTAGAGTCGGACCAACTCGCGGTTGAGGACGACCGCCAAACTATCATCTACAGCAATCGCAGCGGCGGCAATTACGGAGAGAAACAGCATGGGCTTCGACCGACGCAGTTGTGCGGCGGTGGTATGTGGAGGGAGCAGCACCATCGGGGCAAAAGCGGTGAGCTCGGTGATATAAAAGGACACCAACTCATTGGCAAATTCCAGCGAGATTAACCCCCGGTCAATGATGTCGCTGCCCGAGGGCTCTTCCAGACTATAGCTGGGCGGGATCGGCGTGGCAGACGCAAAGGCATCAGAACCACTATTCAGGGTGTTTGAGTACGACGACGAGGGTGGCACGCCGGGCGAGAGCTCCATGTTTCTGAAGGATCCCGAGGCACTGCTCGGGGCATCCGGCACAATGGATAAGGTTTCTTGGGGGTCAGTCCCAAAGTCAGGTTCTTCTGAGTCCTCGACTTCGCTGCCACAGCTGCCCGAGCTGCTTTCTTCATCGATGCGGAAGCGGTCCTTGAGCAGGGAGCGCATCTGTCGCATCTCCCTCTCCAACTGAGCCACGCGCGAATCAGTTCGCTTGCGTGGTCGTCGTCGTTGGGGGGCCACAAAGACGCAAGTTCTCTTGGCCTTGGCACATCGCTGGCACTGATTGGGAGATTTGGGGTCAGGAAGGCAGCGGACCTTCAGACCACGACACGATTCACAGGATCGATTTAATTGCTGGGTGGGGGCTGGTTGTTGGAGTATACCCGGGTCACCAGGTGTTGAGGGGGTAGCCGACATGGTCTGTCGGCTTTGGTGAGGTCGTGAGCTAGCGTAGAAAAGGGAAACCCGAAGTGTTATTGACGGAAGCGCAGCGAAGGATCTGAAAAGGTCGACGACGATAACTGACAGAGACCGCTGAAGCTGCTAACGTTATAAAACCCCATCTCTTCAATATGACCAGGGATAGTACATGGCGATGGGGTCGTCCAGGTTATTGGAGAAGCGATGATAGCGGCACCCTGGTCGTCACAGTCCAAACCACGCGATGGAGCAGTAGCTCCATCTAACGGCCTAGCAGTTGTATTTCCGCACCCCAAAAAGGGGAACGCCGAGTAAGCTGCAGAACGACTAAATCCCACACGTTTTCTCACCCGCTCGTGCATCCAGGCTGAACAGGCAGACCGGCAAGCTTCCAATTGAAAATTCCCGCGGCACCGATCCCTCACGCTGCAGAAGTCGTCACCCATGCTGAAGAAGGATTCAGTGTTGACATGGATTGCACGCGAAGGTCGTAGTGGGCCTTGAACAAGCCCCAATCATGTGATCTTCGAGCCACCAAGTGGGATCGAAATCGGTTTTTATTTTTAATTATTATTTTTTTTTTAAAAAAAAATTCATTTTAAAGTTTCTACTGGGTCACACACACGAGAAGGAAACAAATAAAACCACAACGGTTTTTATTTTAAAACTGGGGGCGTTTGATAAGGTCCGCAAGAGGAATACACCCTTGGACACTGCATCGATACCGCCATTGCGTCGTCTACGACACTCGATGGCATTGGGGGGGCGTTGTTTCTCTCTCTCTGCGGTCTTGTGTTCTACTAGTACTCGCCGGAGTATGCACCTTTTCCTCCGTTCTCATCATCAGATCGTGAAACGTCGACAAGAGAAAAAAGTACGGGTATACTCCACCCGGCCAATGAAAGTCAGGAGCGCGCGGAAGAGATGAAGCAGACTTGCTACTAACTAGTCGTCGTCTAGTCGATAGTCGGATGAGATGAACGGGTACCCAGGACTCGGGGCAGGTCCATGAAAGTGGGAAAATCTCATACCTAAAAAATCCTAAAAAATTCCCAAACGAAAATACTAAGACGATCACGGATGCGTGATCGCAGACTCAAACCTGACGAATCAGGGCCACCCGTTCCCCGCAGCGCGACCGACTCACACCAATCAGCGCCACCCGCCGTACCCTTGACAGCCCTGTACATCCATTACCGCGTTGGGGAATTTTTCAGATCCTCCACCTGGATTTGGGCGGATGTCGGCTCTGGCATGACGGAAATTCCCCAATCGATCCCTAGCACAAGCTGGCGATATTGGCTGTAATGATGATCGGCCCTGTGGCATTGGACGAGATACAATCTGGCCTCCCAGCCTAAGGGAACTTACCCCAGCATTGGGGATGTTGCCTGGAGGTACTTCCTACTTAGCGAAGGGTGAGTTAGATGCGCGCGACTTCCGACACCCGCAGTCAGGGCCTCGTCTCCATGACTCTCTCTCTCTCTCCCCCCCCCTCCCCCTCTATGCCGGATGGGGAAGGTCCCTATCATTAAGTTAGTTTAGTGAGCAGTTCGACTATCGACAAGTCATTTACCCTCATTGCCTCCTCTCAGACTAGCGTTCGGACTATGATGATCCTGGTCCCTCAACGCTAAGATAGACCGGCAGCCTGAGTCGGGAAATAAATCACAACAACAACCACAACCACCACGTCGAGTCCATATCTTTTCGCCCCCTTGGACGGGTTGGACCCCAACCCTCCCGCAACACGTGGGACTGCCTGCAAGGTAAGGCCCCTGCAGGCATCCCTGGCGGGCCAATCGATGTCGGCAGGGATCCCACCCACTGCTGGATCAACGGTTTCTTATTGATTGTCCGGCCTGCAATCGTTATATTAATGGATACTGAGAGCAGCGAGTTACTTTGGGCTCACGTCTACGCGGGGCCGTGAGGGTGGCGTTCGACTGGGCGTGAGGGGGGCTAGGTCGAATTGCACTTTTTCATTTTGATATTCCGAACATCTGAATTCCATAGCAACATGAACCCATTCAATTTTCTTTCCCCGCCCCTCCCTTCTCCTATTGACATGGTCCCTATGTTATCCTGGAATAGTACCAAGTACCTAGTAATTGTTCTCCAAAACCAAAACAAGTAAACCTACAAATACCGTCCAGCCCGTCACCCGGCCAATGTTGTCTAGTGACGGAGCCCCAAATCACAAAATTATACAAAAAAAAAATAAAAATAAAAATAAAAATAACTCAGGTCAATCCCCTGCGCCGATTGCTGGCCCAACACGCTAAGCAAGAAGACAATGCAACCCACGAAACAAAAGCAAGGATTAAGACACGGTTGCTCCGAAGCTAAAGTATGATGCTCGAGTCGTAGGGTGGTAATACATATTGACAGAAATCCAAAGTGTACATGGCCCATATCTCTCCACCCAAAAAAGTAAATTCAAAACTGTACAACTGTAGAAGGAGATGAAACGAAGAGAAAACTAGGCAGCCTCATGCAGGCCGTGTGTGGCCTGGGGGATGCAGCCCAGCAGCCGCTGCTCCGTACGGGAAGTAAAGCTCGGGGTATGGGGTGTGATAGGGTTGGGGCGGCGGCGGCTGGAGACCGTGAGGGCCATGGGGTGCTGGAGGGAACGGCGCTACCGTCCGGGGATCGATGGGTGCATACGGCGCCATTGACCCCCGCGCTGGAGGCATGGGTGCCAGTTGGGGATGTGGACCGGGAGGGCCGGGCGCAGCGAGCCTGGCCCAGGCATGGCTGGTGCTGGAGCAAGACCTGTGTCGGCTCTCGGGGCCCCCCAAACTGGACTGTCTGATTTCTTCTTCTTGCCGACAGTCTTGGGAGGTTCGGCTGCCTTTCTGGCAGCTTCGGCCGCCCGATCGGCCTCAATCTGGGCTTTGGATCGTTTCGGGTTACGGGTCCGGCCCTCCCGGTTGAACCGGGCCCAGTGGTTGAGCATGGCCTCTGTCCGCTTTGGATTTTTGGAGTTGGCGATCTTTTCGCGGCGAGCCTTCTCAGCGGGGTCGAGTAATTCATCATGGGCAACGCCTGCCTGAGTGCTGACGGGAGTCACAGTGCTGAATCCCCGCTGGGCGCCGGTTCAATTGGCGCCAACTGAGCCGTGGCAGGACGTGATTGTAACGGCCCAGCGGACGTTGCAGCCTCGCGGCCATGGCCACGACCAACCGACCGAGCTGGCGCCACCGGGGCCACAGGCTGCGGAGCCTCCGAGCCCGCACGAGACATTCCACGCGCAGCTCCCCGCCCGCGGCCCCGGCCCCGGCCACGAACGGAGCCTCGTGAGGGGGCCGGAGACCCTGTGGGTTGAGTATCCAGCTCCCCAGCACGCCGGGTGCGAGTGCGCCGCTTCCCAAATGACTCTTCCTCTATGGGTGCTGGTGTCCCGTTCAATGCCTCGTCGGTCTCGTTGGCTTTGTTGGCTGCTTCCAACTCTGCGGCCTTGCGCTTGCGAGTTGCCTTACCGACGAACTCCTCTCGCGGAGGGTTCTGAAACTTGGGAACATGCTCAACGCCGAATTTCGTAATTGTTGGCCAACCGTCCGGATTAGGATTATTTGGGCCAGCTTTGGCAGTCATCTTTCTGAACTGAGCTGGCGTAGGCTTGAATCCACCTTGAACGAAGGGGTTCTGGTTGCGAACTTTATCTTCTTTCGTTTCATGCTTGTAGCCGTAGAGCATCGCCTCCTTCTTGTCTTCATAAACCTCGGGTCGGTCGAGTTTCCGTGGGTCGCTGGTTGCCTTTACATTTTGCCGGGTTGCATGTTTGCAGAGCTTTTCGATGGCCAAGTACTCGTCTTGCCATACCTTTAGGACATTGGCAACGTTTTCAGTGATGGCGTAAAGCTCATCGCTTGAGCGCAGTTCAGGATCACGGAGTTGGACCAAGAAATTTTCCAGAGGCGAGATCTCAAGAAAGTCTCCTCTAGAGCTCTTGGAGTTTTTGTAAGGTTCCGGGCGTACTAATAATTCAGATGTATCACGTTTCTTGGCACGTTTGGGGTCCTCGAAGACTTTCATCCAGGTTCCACTGATGTTGGCCGATGTCTCTTCAAAACCTCCAGAAAACTTGCTGATTTCATGGAGGTTCCAGAGGTTATGAATACGTTTGTCCAAGGACACCGAATCTTCTTGGCGAGAAAACTCGTGGAGTTGATTGAATAGAGCAAGGTCTGACTCGCCTTCATGACCGTCTCCGTCCCCTTCGGCATCAGGGCCGTCAAGGTCGTTCTGGTCATTTTCGTTATCGTAACCTTCCATGGCTTCAGTACTTTCATGCACACCATCATCGGCGGCTTCCATTAGACCGTCTTCTTCGGCCTCCAGAGCATCATCTGCTTCCGACACTGGTGCTGTGAGTACAGTGTCATCTCCAGGGTGTTCGTCGACGTCATATGCCTCTTCTTTCTCTTCATCGGCGACGCCATCATACAAAGAGAACTTGGCAATGTGCGGATGCATCGTAGCCATGTGTTCTTCGAGAGCCTCATTTTGAGAATATGGATCGTCATCTGAGGACTCGAAGAATTTCCCACACCATGCGCACTTAGCTCTGGGGGTGGTGGGTGAAAGGGATGGCGAGTGAGTAGATGTAGAATGAGCATGGAGTGGCTCGGAGAATTGTCGGCGCAGCTGCGAGTCGTGGCTGGCCATGTCCGAAGTATGGCTGTCCATGTCAATGTCGCTTTGAGCGACTGGAGCCATGGCTAGAAGAAAATGACTTGAAATACTCGAGTCAAGGTAGAGTATTAAATAAAAAGAAAAAAGAAAAATGGATATCCACGATGAGAGGTGATACAATTTTCACACTCTAGGAGACCCAAGACTGGGGCCTACATATACTGTGTTAGTAGAGCTTGGGTTGAAAAGTTCGCTTCCGGTGCCAAGACACCCGGAGTACGTGCAGTGCAATCGTGAACAACAGAGGGTAGCATGTGCAATGGCAGATGGGGAAAAGAAAACCATGTGTGGTAGGGAGAAAAACAAAAAAAAGAAAATTACAGGCGGGCCGCTAGAAGAAAAGCGACCTACCAACAGGGAGTAAAATAGTGGGAAAAACTGAACAAAAGGTTGAAGTAGGTACTTCTGGTGGCCAGACTGGAAGAGTAGTGCCCGGCCAGATGTACTGCACGGGAATGTAACATACCTTTCGAACTGAAGTAAAGAAATCGTTTGTAGAAAATACGGACAGGAATAGTAAGGGATGTGGGGGATAGCGTGTGGGTGTTGGTTGACAAGTTGACAAGTTGACGACGAAAAAGTTGTTTGGGTCTACAGTAGCTCGCAGCCCGTGGGTTGGTCGCGAACGGCTGCCAGGGATAGTACAGTAAATTGAAGTCGTAGTCTTGCCTTCTTGAAAGGGAAAAGTCGAGCGCCGAGCCGGTAGGCAGAGAATCTCGGTATAGTCCCCAACCACGATCAAGACAGAACAAAAAGTGTGCCAATGAAATAACGTGTCGAGTGGATGATGGACAATTTGGTGACTTCCGAGTAGTGTAGTAATTTTAGATGTCCGCAAAGTAGAACTTTGTCGCGGTAAGGAATTCGGGCGGGTATGCAGAAAAAGAAAATGAGGGAAAAAAAAGACTATGCTCTGAACCACGGGCCAAACCGAAATAACCAAAGACTCTCCAAACAAGACAAAGCACAAGTACAGACGTGATGAAAAAGAGAAATTGGGAATCTTTAGAGAAAGTCTCTGCTGGTAGCATGCAGCATGAGGCTGTCAAGGTGATAAAATCTGGAGCGAATAAGCAAGTTTTGCTTCCAATTACGCTCGCGAAAGAGAAGAAGCGCGATGGGCGCAGTCGAGAAGAAAGCGCAAAGGATCAGTGATGAAGAAGAGATTGAAGTAATAGATGGTGGCACAAGCTGTTTGGAGTAGACGTTCCTGGACGAATGGACGTTGTACAGGCCAAGATGGAGTAGTTGTTGTCATGTAGTGTAGAAGAAGTATGAACGTCTGACGAAAGGTTGGTAGACAGACGGTAGAAGGGAAGTGGGAAGAGCCAAGAGAACTAAACGCGCACAGAGGAGGGAATCGAGGAGAAACACAAGAGAACACGGTGGGAGAGACTATCGGATTCGAGGAGGAGGACAGGAAGAGATGTCGCGTTGTGTTGTAGTGAATGATGGCAGATGAAAAAAAATGACCCTACTAACAGCCCGACAGCAACAAGCCTCTTCTCTGTATACAATAGGAGGTAAGGTAGGGAATTTACTATTGGTACCATACAGTATGAGTGGTACGGGAATTAATTACCCACCTAACCTGACCTGGTCAAAGCATCGACGGGCATGGTTAAGCCTGAGGGCCCTATTTTACTCCAGTACGGTAGTGCCATATTTCTTACCTTATTTTACCTGGCCGGACCCACCGGGGGGAAAGTCGATTATGATGGGCCTCCCGGAAAAAAATCGCCTCCGGACAGATCTTCCGCCTAGCCGCATTACATAGTACTCCTCAACCAATCCGAGGCACGATCGAGTTGAACTTGTTACCTGTCTGTATTCTGGAGGTATGGGCACAGGTCCCAATCTGGCTTTTCCGTTGAAAGCACAGTACTGACTGAGAGTACCTTGGACTGTTTTTCTTCCCCAGAGAAATCCAACAACCGATGATTATTCTATTTGTTTGGTATCTTCCACCTGATTCGAAAGGGCCGTCGGTCTCACAAAGAATAAAGATAATATCATTGGAAGCTATCAATAGCTCCCTGTATCAATGGACGTTTCACAGACCCTGCCAATTATTATCGGCCCTGCAATGTTTCTCGATGGACGGCGGGAGGCTGTAATTTTATTCGGTTCGGTAATATATGATACCGAACCTTGACATCATAACTGCATTCGTAACCACAACATACTCAGGTCCGTAGGCCCAACTCTACTTCCTTGAGGTGAGTTTGATGGCATATTCAACTCGATGGGACTACTTCGCAGAGATATCATGTAATCGTCACTATCTGGAATCACAAAATTCATGATAAGAAAGCTGTATGATGAGCAATGATCATGACTCACGGGAGAATGCAGTATACTATAGTTGCATCGCTACTCTATTCATAATATGTATGTACAAATCATCATGCGGTCCCTTTAATGGTTTTTCTCTCCAACGTCCAGTGCAACTAGAAACCGACTAACACAGTTGTAAGCTGCTGCGGTGGCAGTGATTTCCACCACCTCTCGATCATTGAAGAGTCCCTTCAATTCTTGAAACACATCGTCAGGCACAGTAACCGTTTTCGTCATGGCATCTGTATACTTCAACACCGCAGCCTCCTCGGGACCTATCACCTTCTCTTGCGCTTTCTGGGCGATGTCAGCCTGAGCGTCACGAACGACTGCCACCGCTTCCGCACTGCATCCGCCTTCCATGAGCAAAGGCGAGTGTTGATCCCATTCGAACCAGGCTCCGTTGATTACAGCGATGCGGCAGATGATAAGTTCACGAATGGCTTGGGAGAGGCTAGTGCGGGTTCGGATAGCTCCGATGAACGAATTCCACCCATCGGCAACTGGGAACGAGTGCAGAAGGGCGAGATCCAGAGGTATTAAGCCTTTTTCACCACGTCGAGTTTGCACCCGGTTGAGGATTTCTGCCTCTTCAGGAGTGGCGGTAGGGGGCGGATTGGGAACATATGGAAGACGCATGTCGAATAATTTCGCTTGGTAGCTGCAATGCCCCGGCTGGTAAAGCGTAAGGAAGAGGGCGATAACTGTCTTGTTTAACTGTCGGTGGTGAGCTCTGGATTAATTAATCTAGTAATGGGGAGCTATACTAACCTTCTTGAATGAATAGGAATACTGTCCTTAACCGAGACGATGTATGGGAATTATGTTCGCAAAAAGGTCCTTAATTGTATTATCAGGCTAAGACATGTGGGAACATCCCACTATTTATCTTGAGTCATGGTAACGTCTTATCATACCCCACGAGGAGCGGAAAAGTGCGCGGGATCGAAGCCGTAGCCGCGGGTTGAACTATAATGTCCCCCGCAGTCTCAGACAGTTCAATCCTTCGGTTATCGAAAGCTGCCGGATTACAACTTTTACGTGATCATGAATCAATATACTCGTAACAAACCAGTCTAACATTTTCGTAATGCCTTAATGCATAGCAACGGGGCTCCGTGTCTACTGACAGAAAGCCATGTTGCGACGATAATAACAAATTATATTAATTCGAAACATGGTATAGCTGAGGTACATACAAGGTAGGTGGTATAGTTCGCATGAGCACAGAGGTAAAGTTCTGTTTAGAATCTCTTGTGGTCATTGACAGCTTAGGAGTGAATATTGTTTTCCATGTTATGCAAAGCTCAAAGATGTATCCACCAATTTATATGCTAACGAATGTCTGGCCAAGGGTACTCATAATGGCACATACATGATGTGATGATCCTGTACAGCGAGAAGTGGCCTCTAACAGTATGACTAATGGTCATGATGGTTTGGGGCCGATATTTTTTTT